TACTTTTATACCAATGAGTAGGAATAAAGCAAAAATAACTGGAGCACTCAGAAAGTAGGAAGCAATGTACCAAAGCAGAACACAAGATACAGGGGAAAGTTAATATAAGACAAAAAACCCTGTGGTTGGGGGAAAGGTATAGGAAGGAGAGAAGTAGTATATTTCATAGTCAAAGTCTCATTACAGGAAGTTACTGATATTTCTCAGAAAAAAAAAAAAAGTATGAATATTAGTGGGGTCATCTTATTAGTGGGCAAAAATGTAAACCCGAAATGGAACATTAATCAAATGTGTACTTTGTAAAGTGCAAGACAATAATATCTATTATTGCTCATTAACTTTAAAAATAAGGTCAAATACAGGGGGACAAGGAGGATGGTAGAAGTCTTCCACATCAATAAATTCCTAGGGAAAATGTGTTTATATGTGAGAACCCAACACATCAATGAATACTAATGTTCAGAATTACTTAGTTATTTAATGTTTTCACATAAAATATTTAGAGACCTAGATCACCTCACAGTAATTAGTCATTTCATAATATTTTGGTAAAAAGGGAATATACATATCTGATGATTTCCTCAAATGCATACAAAACAAGATGAAAGTTAAGCAAACATTAGAGATTAAAAAAAATCTAATTTGGGCTAAACACTTGTGAAAGCGGACTAAGTGTTTACAACCTGAGGTATCTGAAAATAAATGTTCATTCCCAATTCATCCTAACAACAGTATTCACAAAACTAAACTCTAAGAGAAATGAACATAAGAGAATAGCAATGTGTGCGAGAACCCACCACAATCACCATCTCAGATGGGCACGGTCCTTATTCCATTCTGTTACAGACAGATTTTCCAAAGGGTCCCTAGTCATCTTTAACCTTTCCCATGGCCTATCAGTTGTCTTCTCTACCCATTAGTGCTAATGGTGCTGCTCTCACAAAAGCTGTTAGTTGTCATTGAGAAGTTATCAGATAACACAAGGAAGCAAAGGGATTTTTATTAAATCAATTTACCACAGCAGGGTTAAGACACATTAAGAGGAAAAATCAAATAGGACAGTTATAGGTTAAATAGAAAATATGGTCCAATATTTTAGAAATTTAACAAAATAATCCAATTTGAGCAATTTTAATATTAAAGTTTACCTTTATCAGAGAGCATCACCATTGTATTGTCTTTGTGAGATTTTTCTTTTCTTAGTAAATTTTTATGTCCTTTTATACAGAAAAGTACAGGGATAATAAATGTACAACATGATGAATTTTTACCAATGAATACACTAACAGGAATATAATCCATAATGTAGTGGTAACAATGACAAAAAAATATATTTTTAGTTGCACTACTTAGTTTTAAGTCATTTTCCTGTACTTAGCATGAAAAACTGGAATTCCTTTATATCTCAGAAGGCTAGTGTGTCCACAAGGTTCTAGACTTACCAGGAGAAAAAATCATTTAGTGAAGGAAGATAATTCCAATTCTCTGAAATTTCCTATCTAAATATCCATACAATGGAAGTGAAATGAAGGATCACTATTCCTGGTAAGATATTAGGAAAATAACTTGACAGTGCATTAAAGGAAATCTCAAAATATTCATGCTCTCAGGAGTCCCATAACACACAAACATTGTATAAATAGAAGAAAGTTTTAAAAATACTTCACAAGTAAGTGTAAACTAAGAGTGAGGAACAATATATAATTTCATTGAACATGTCAAAACTATACCAAAAAATAGGTGACTTTTACATTCACTGTGTAAATTTACAAGAACATAAATAAGCATTAAAATCAGACAAAGGCAAGTCAGCAAAAATTAACTACTAACCACTTTCTTCAAGTACTAATGGCAGAATTTTACCTAGTGCCAGAAATAACAATGAATTTTAATCAATGCTAATTCCACTGGTGACCTTTATCTATCAGAAATTGACTGGATTAAGGTTTTGTCAGCAAAGTAATTTCTTAGTCATTTAAAGGAGAAAGACATGAGTTTATTCCACAGAGCTCACAATATAGGGGTGTATAATAGTAGGGAGTGAAAGTTGTTCTTTCCAAAGTATGTTTAGTATAAACTCATTGTGGCATGTCCACTTCTAGCGAACAGTTAAACAGTTACTGAATGAAACGGATGACTTTCATTTTATTTTTATTTAGGCAAACTAGCACACAAGTACAGTAAGGAACAGCTGAGATTTCATCCTCCATTCCATAACTTAAAATTATTCAAAATGATAAAAATGAGATGTCCTGGTGAAAGTGTCCATCACAGGTAAATTTTTAAAAATCTAGTACTTGAGAAACATATCTCATTGGTATAGTCTATGGATCTAGTATAACTCACTGAATAAAAGTTATGCTACTTAATTACCCTATCTCAGATTTCTTTTCATTCAAACCACCATTTTAATTTTTGCATACACAATGGAAAAACATAAGCAATTTTTATAGATTCTAAAAAATTAAAATGTACTGTAGTCTTTTCAGAATATTTTAGACTCATCATTAGTTCCCTTTTGAGTAAGAAAATCTGTCATGCTTTTCAGATCAAAGCGAGGAAAACATCCTAAAACATATCCTCTAAGTGTTTGTGATCAATCTTGAAGTATTTCTGTATTTGTTTTACATAAAATAGTGTGACCTTTGATTCCCTCCCTGTGGTTTGCTTTAAACTGTTGTTCTTTTCTGCATAGTTGTGCTTTCTATTACATGCTGTCATTTAGATTCACTATGGCATCCCTATTATTGGAATTGTTTTGTTGTATACTTCACAATTCAAAAGGACGGTGATTATACGAATACCTTATAATCAGCATAAAGTTTGTGAGACATCATCAAAATTAACCCCCACACACAAACAAAAAGAAGTCACTTGACTAACATGCAGGGGCAGCCCTGTGACATTAAAGAATCTTTGAATGTGCGAGGGGGTTCAAGTTTCTTCAGGAATAATGTTTTTATGTCAGGAAGAGTCATAAATGTTCAGAGATGCAGAGGGATGTGGTTATAGGCAGAATGCCACAAATCACAGAAGATTCCAGAAGTCATTACTTCAAACATGTAAAATTCTTTGGAAAGTGGTATTAATTAGATAATACTTTAATCTACCTATCAGCCGCAAATATTTAAAACTGGATAAATACAATCAAATATAATCATTATAACAGAAAATAATATATTATTTATGAACCTTAAGAAATTAAATACCTGATCTAGTCCCCAATTCTCATGAGTGCCAAAATAATTCTGACTTCTTTCTTAAGTTTATTCCACATTTGTGAATGAAAAGGAAGGGAAAATATCACTACAGATCAGGAGAGAAACTTGATCGTTACTCTAGATAATCACAACTCCCAGACTGCTGAGATACTCACTTTAGCAGCACTAATGACCGTGGCAGTATAAGACTGAATGTTGTCTCCACAAGCTCCACCACGGGACTGATGACATCGAATCAACTGGAAAAGAGATAGAGAAAGAGAAAAACCAGAGTCATTTCTATTAAACTGTTTAACTCTGCAGGCTATTAGGATAGAGCTTATTTACCATGCATAATGATGGTAGCGGGTGGGAATGTTTGCATAAGTGTATTTCAGACAAACAGCTAAAAGCCCTGCTGAGACACTTTTACCCCTTTTTATAATCAAATGGTGCCATTCAGTTTCATGCTCAAATTCGATTTTTAATTATAAGATGAGTAGACTTTAAAAATTCATAAACGCTGAAAAGTAAGATTTGGGATCTGGCAGCTGTTCCACAAATAAATTTGAAAAATATAATCAAAGGACTTAGTCGTGACTTCCTAACATTAAATATTTAACATGCTAGCAAATTGGAGGTTTTGTCGTCATAATTCTTCCATGAAAAATGTAAAGAGAAATTTTGAAAAGACAAAAGATTTTGCTACATTTCCGTTTCCAATTTTGTCAGTGAAAAGTAGCATAAATTATGCATAAATCAACTATGACACAAATAGTAACTGTCCACTTCAGAGGGCTTTCCTACTTTTACCATTAGAATGAAAAAAATATGTCCTTATTCATTCCTGGATAAATAAATCAACTTGCCTGTTTTCAAATTGAATCACTAGTTGACATGTATAATGTGCTGAGCAGTAAACCAGAACTAAATTCTCCACTGCTACTATATTTCCAAAATTTAGTTAAATAAAAATATTAGCCATATATTGACATTAAAATATTTTTTTAATAAAATGACAATATTAGAGAATGAGACTAGGTGCATTATAAGAATTATTAGAAGACTATGGAATTAACAAACTAACTTTTATAAAACATTGTAAAAAATAATCTAAACTTAATTAACAACAGGTCATTTGATAAAGATTGATATCCTTTTACTATCACTGAAATGTATTAAAAAATAATCCTTCAAGCAATATTAATGTGCTATAATAGAATGGAATATCTTTTAAAGTCTGCTGTAAGATGTCAAACTGCCACACTGAATGATTGCTTAAGTAAAGTTCAAGGTAACTGGTAAAGAATTTTGCAAATGACAAGCAACTGGCAAATGTAGTTTCACACAGTGGAAAATAGAGAGTTTGAATAGTAATCATACAGACTAATAAAAAGAAATTCTTACTTATTCACTCACTCACTCATTCATTTACAAATACACACACAAAGAAATAATGAAAATTATCCCTTTGCTTCCTCCTTCCACATGTGCAAGGAAAGACGTTTGTCTTGGAAATACTATCATCATTTCACTATGTCAGTAATTAAAATAAAGGGTAAATATGTGAAACTAAGAACACCATTAACTTTTCAATTCAATTCAAACTGAATCAGCATTTCCACATAAAAACAACCAAGCCAGATATACAAATATCAAATCTTGTTGTACAACTGAAATTAACGTGATGTTAAATTACACCTCCATTTAAAAAAGTAACTCAGCCAGAAATTGTGCTTAAAACTTAAAATCATTAGAAAATTACATTGAATCTCACTAGCTCAAAATTAAAGATAAATAAGTGCTCATTTTGGCACTATATATTCTAAAAATTGGAATAATACAAATATTAGCAGGCCTCCTGCACAAAGATGACATGCAAACTCATGAAGCCATCCATATTTTTATCTTCTAGGGAAAACACTGATGTAAAGTCAGAGCTCCCATCTTTTCATCTAGGTGTCATTCCTAGTAATATGTTTTAACTGTGAAAGTAGAAGTGTGGGAAGAGAGAGGGAAAGAAAGAAAAAGAAAAACCCTGCAGTTGAAAGATATAGATAAAATTAAAATACACATAAAGAATGCAGACTTAAAAACAAACTAAAGAAGTTACCACCCAAACAAACCAAAATTGTAAATGCTCAGAATTGGTAGCACAAAAGAAGAAAAGTGCTCACGGTATATATCATGACAGTCTGACTACCCCCAAAATGTTGTGCTGAAGATTTATGAAAACAAATATACAATAAAAACAAATACACACTATGCAGAAAATAGCAAATTTCAGGCAACTATTTTGGATTGAAAATGCTGGTAAATTTAATGTTCAAATTATCTGATAAAATAACCATTTGAAAACTAAAAAATAAATCTATCAGAAATTTCTGAAGTGCAAATTCCTATTACATGGACTATTTTTTTTTTTAAACTCGGTAAGTGAAAAAGTACATACATCTTTTGGGAATGAAAGGGAAATTCATATGCAACAAATATTGAAATACATAAACATATATATACACACAAATATAAAAACAAACCTACAGGATTATGTATCAGATGAAAACTAATAATAAAGTAAGGGGAAGTCATGAAGGACAAACTAATCAAAAAAACACAGTGCTGGACCACATACGTTCAGTTTCATGCAAGGATGTTGATGGAGAGAATTGTATGAAAATCCTGAATTCTTTATTCAACTTGATTTTTGCATTGGTATGAACAAATGAAATAAATGTACTAATATCAGGATTTCCGTGCAAAACAGGGATCCTTAAATAGGAAATGGGGGATGACAATAATGCATTCTGTAGAATTACTAATGGGAGATTTTGATTTCCATATATAGGTATGCAAACATATACATCTGTTTATATATATATATGTGTGTGCAGTTTGTATATAAATAAAAGTATGTGTGTGCATAATTTGCATGTTTCAAAACATTGTTACGTGAAATATTATAGAAGCAGGGCCTCCCTGGTGGTGCAAGGGGTTAAGACACAGCACTATGAAGCTACCTGCAGCCACCAGCCACGGCAATTCGATCCCTGGCCAGGGCGTTACCCACATGGCACAGCAGACCTCTCCTGACTGGCCCACTGCTCCCCTCAGCAGTGTATTTCAGTACATCTGCCTGTTCTGTTCCCCGCTCTGTCCCTGGTGAATCCTCTCACCCCCCACCCTAGTTCTTGTATGCATAAATAAATAAATCTTGAAAAAAAAAAAGATATGTTATAGAAGCAGAAACACCGCAGGTAATGAGCACACATAATTGACAAAGCTTAATACAATATCCCATCATAAGCCACAAAAGGAAAAAGGAGAATCAGAAGTACCACATTCCCGAGCTGGCACAGAGAATATCTAAGATGAACAAGTACATATTGTCACTACTAAAAAAATAATTTGCTCTATAGATCTGAGGCATACAGCAAGTGAGAGGGAGGGAAAGGATCAAAACAGAGGAAGGAAGAGCACAAGGGACTATGGTGATGGTTCACGGGTGACATGGTGGTGGGAGATTAACAGAGACCACACCTGAGGGCAAAATCAAATATTGTACAAAAAAAAAAAAAAAAAATGATGTAAGAAAATTTAAAAAGTTTAAGAAAACAGTTTGTTAAAAACTAAGTAAGTAATAAAAAATTGATAAGGGCATGTCACAATGTCAAAAAAAAATGAAGGGCTTCTGATTGATTAACTCAGGAATGATTTAAAAATTAAAAGTCAGGGCCTCCCCGGTGGCGCAGCGGTTGAGCGCTGGGTTGGGCAGTTGTCCGCGGTCTCTGCGGCGCCGGTTCGATCCCCGGCTCCTCCCCGGCCACTGGAGGAGGGTCCCACATGGCGCGTAGACCTCTCCTGCCGCCCGCTGCTCCCCTCAGCAGTGTACTTCGGTCCTTCTGCCTGCTCTGCTCCCCGCTCTGTTTCTGGTGAATTCTCTCACCCTCCCGCGCTTCTGACTATACCCAGTGCATGTATAAACAAAACAAAACAAAACAAACAAACAAATAAATAAATAAATAAATGCCTCTATTAAAAAAAAAAAAAGTTTAAAAAAAAAAAAATTAAAAGTCAGTGAAAAAAGTTATCTATGAGTCTGTTTTACATATGTAAACATAGAAAGACAGAGAAGAAGGGAAAGTTATTGATTACATTAGAAAGCCAAGTACCTACTTGCAAATGTGAAAGGTGAAGTGAGAAATTCATTATTTTTAACACTCATAGTGAATAAAGATTTAAGACAAGATTTCATGAAATGCATGTTAAAATTAGGCTAAAATGTTGATGAAAAGCAGGATATATGTACAGTATCTCCAACTTAAATATTTACAAAAGGAAAATGTACAGGACTATGCAATACAGAAATTGAACTGGACCTTGACAGAGTAGCAACATCAGTATAGTACAAAGCGTATCATGTGCCTCCAGATGTAATACTGTGAGAAAGAACAAATACTTAAGTTGCAATCTGGCCAGAAATGTATAACCTAATAAAACTCAAAAAGCTCAAAATAAATATCTGTTCTTTAAAAAAATATAGGGTGTACATTTAAGGGATTGTATTCTTCAAAATGATTTATGATATAAAAGATAAACAAAAACTATGTAAAGTTCTACATGAAAAAAATGTAAAGGAAAATGCCAACAAAGTGTTAATACCTGATTCCTGTCTAATGGGGGAAAAAATCTTCAAATAACAAGTTACGAGTTAGTCACTAAATTGGAATATGGATGATATTGGATATGCATGATAAATTAGATAAAGTATGGGTGTTAATTTAAGTATTTTTGGGCAGTGATAATTACAACTTACTGTGAAATGGTTCAATGTTCATCTGAATAAAGGGCACATAGGGATGCTTTGTATTATATTATTCTTGTAAGTCTTGAATAATGTATTATTCTTGTAAGTCTTGTGAGTTAAAAATACATTTAAAAAGAATTGCTAAAAAACAAACTTAAACAAGATATATGTCCTCTTTGTGAAAATACTAGTCAAAGAGCATTTCCACCTAAAGATGTTACTCCAAAATTTAAATTTTGGAATTCTGCACTCGGTGCAAAAGCTAAGGCAATCACAAACTGTACATAATTATTAGTTCTTTTTTTTTTTTCATTTTTGTACAATGTTTGCTTTCTTTTTTTTTTAAGATTTATTTTTATTTATTTATACAAGCACTGGGTACAGTCAGAAGCACAGGAGGGTGAGAGAATTCACCAGAGCCAGAGCGGGGAGCAGAGCAGGCAGAAGGACCGAAGTACACTGCTGAGGGGAGCAGCGGGCGGCAGGAGAGGTCTGCGCGCCATGTGGGACCCTCCTCCGGTGGCCGGGGAGCAGCTGGGGATCGAACCGGCGATGCAGAGTCTGCGGGCAGCTTTGCAACCCAGCACTCAACCACTGCGCCACCAGGGAGGCCCTCTACATATACTTTTGTAGTGCTTAATGTTCCATTAAAATTAATCCAAACATGGGCCATGCCTTACCTTGTTTTCTGCATAAGCAAGCCAGCGGCTCCCAAGAGCAATAGGATTCATGTTGGGCCCTGGACAAGGATAGCAGCCTGGAAATATTCAAATAGAAAAATCAAGAAAAATTTTAATAACTTTTTTGTTAGTGCATACATTTTCATAATATAGCAATGCAACAATGCTTTTTTCAAATATTGCATAAAATATTAACATTTTATTAATAACTAATTCTTTCCCTCTTCTAATTAGTTTTATTAAAAACAAATCTGGAAAAGACAGGCAATAACTTTTAGCAAGAATTAGGAATTTTATACAGTTATTCCTATAACAAGAAAGAATGTGGAGAGGTCATAAGTCTACAAGTTCATAAGTCAAACATGAATGTTGAGAGAGGAACAAGAAAGATTCAGTAATTAAACGGCAAAGACAGAGAAAACATACAGTTAAAAGGAAATGAAAATACTCTGGGAGTAGGATGGAGAGACAAAAATTTACATGGGGGGTCCATGAGAGAAATTATGCACAAAGGGTGCATCAGTAGAAACATGCTGAAAAAATAATTTCCATAATCCAATGCATTTACATTAAGCATTCCATTTCATTATTCTTGCTTTCAGACCAAGACAATAAAAGGCTAGAAGGAAGGATTACTTTGAAGTCTTCTTCTTTCAACAAGAATACATCATCTATTCCTGAAAATGGACACCACCCAAGGATGGAAAGGTCAGTGCCATCTAACTAAATTCTAACCAAGACATGACACAACTCAGTCAAGGAGGTGGTATATAACATAGAGGAAGCTCTCTTCTTTCCTCCTGGCTATTCCAATAATATTTCCCGACTAAAATCATCTACAGTCTCCAGGCATCTGTCAAATACACAAAATAATATTCCATGATCTCACAACACTGTTTTAGAGGGACTACTCAAAGCAAACTGCAAAGTAACAAACACAAAAGACTAGTCTAAGGAATTCTTGGTGTATCATTCCACAAGTATTTAAGAGAATATGTTGAAATATTCAATAGTATGCTCAACAGTCAGATCTTTTAAAGGCAATTTTAATGGAATTATTTCTTAACTATATATTAAATGTTTTCCTTAATTGAGAAAACTGAGTAGCAACGGGCATCATTGTGAAATATTAGTGATGCTGTGTTCAAGCACAGCAGAAGCACACATTATACTTATATAGCAGTTTATTATACAGGATTTTTCATTATAGTTTTCAGTTCAGCTCCTTGAATTGCCAACGTCATTTTTAAAGAAGGAATTTATAAAGACGATAGTAACCTCAAGTGAAAGTCCCTATTTCATATTAGTAAAAAATATATGAGTTTTCATATATTCTCGCACATAATTAAAAAAAAGCTTTCATTTATTTCAGGGTCTATGTTACTGAATGCATATTTTGAACACATATTATGGACACATACA